TTCTTAAACCATATTCTTAAATTCCGCAGCCATGATATTCTCCTTCTACCGGGTCCTCGCTTACCTTTGACTTTACCTTGCAATATAGACTGTAGCAGGGAGTAACGGTGCTCATTTCTCATAACGTGTCCCAGATATTGCAATAAGATATTTTATCTTAATTAAGCTTAACAAACTTGAAAGCGACAACATTTTTGAATGGAGAATGAAAAGACCTTTCAAACGATATATCACAAGCCTATACTTCCTATTTTAAAAATTGGGAGTTGTACCTGTCATTCTAAGAGGATTGAAGGTAGAGGTTGCAGTTTCACGTTAAAGAATGTCATTTTATAATTTAAATTTGACGTGTTTCGGGATTTTTTTATAAATATGTACAGTAACCTAAATAATGAATTTAATTCATTTGGCTTTTACACACTGTATATTCATGATGAATGGGATATAAAAACGCAGTTAGCTGTTCATGTATTTTATTAAAAGGCTCATTCAAAAATACAACACAGAAAAATAAACAAATACCTGTTACTGATCCTGCTGTAATCCCTGAAATCCAACGAAAAGACAGTACGAATATATTTGCTAAAGGCATCACTCTGGAAACTCCTAGGAAAAGCTAGTAATATTCAGACGAGAAGACCGTTATCCGTCCTTACCGTTTTTTTTTTTCAATAAAAACCGTATACGCTACATGGAATATCCTATCTTTGTCCTAGGAAATTTCATATCCTCACTCATCTGTGTCTCCCAGAGTGCGAGACCTACTACGTTGTAAAACATAATTATTCATCTTTCACTATCACTGAATGTAGATAGCAGCATCTCATTTTTAAATTTTGTTTTTTGCAAAAATTAAAATTTGCTTAAAAATCTTTCATTTTTTTTTTCTAAAGCCATACAAAGCTTCATATATACAAGAAGAAATATTACGAATGTCATTCAGAAAGTAAGAATACAAGGGCTGTGTAATACAGGGTTTATCATAAGTGTTAAAATTGGTGTTTATGAAGTGTGCAACAATTAATAGAATATTGAGATATTCTTCAAACCATTCAAGAAAGTTTCCCCCCACAAGTTTTCAGAGAATTTTAAAAGACTTGGGACTTTTGAGTCGGAACTGCACGCAAATCGCGTTTGAGTGAACCCCATTTAATTCAAAGCAAAAATTGAATATAAAAACGAAAGGGTCAGTGTGAAGTTCGTTAGTTTGTGTTACTGACAAGAAAACTAAATTTAAGGATGCCACAGTAATGTTGAATAAATTATAATTACCTATTAAATAAGTATTGTATGCTTACTTTCTGCACATCCTTCATATTTCTCAAATACTTTTGAAAAGTGATTTGTTTACTCACGACAATTTCAAGGACAAGGAATTAATTTATTGTTCAGGAATTAATTGAAATATACATATGAGCTTTCTTTAAGAATTCACTGAATTGTTTTGAACTACTTTTATAAAAATTGCGCCTCTAGGGTAAGTTTTAGAACTATTTTTGCAGAATTATTCCCAAAAGATTTTTAATTCTTCTCATGGTCTTGTCCTTTGTCGTCAAATAATTCAAATATGAACAGAAACAATTTTTAATTGTGTTTATAGACATCACTCAAGTAAGTAAACCTTGCCGCCAAACACTGTCGTGAAATAAACATAGTAAAAATATTTTTTAGTTTTACTTATACAAAAATTGAATTTTCATCAACTGTTCATCGACTTGTCAAACGGTTTATTTTTGAAAGGACCATTGACGTTAATATGTGCTTTTTGTTAAACACGAACCAAATGTTGTGTACAAGCTTTCAGGAATGAGGAATTTATTCATACTTTAGAATTGGAACTTTAGTAAGACGTCACAAAGTAGTTTTTTGAGCTTAGGTCAATATTATTTTCAGTGATATGGAAGAGAGAAGATATGACACAAACGATCTTTCTTGATTTACTAAATGGACCACTTGATGTGACACTGTGCCATATCCAATATGGCGACAGACAGGTACGGATTCAAATTAATACAAGATATATTTACGATACTGTAAACCACCAAAACTTACAAAATTCCGATTTTTCAACTTAGTTTTGGTTAATATATTAATACTGTGGAGTAATTAGTTTGATATTAACAACTCTGACAAGAAGTACTATCCAACATGGGCGAACCGAGCCCACCTACTTCACCATGTCATATTGCCTCTCTTCCATATCACTGATTATTTTAAATAAATCGAATTATCTATTATTTCCGCAGCTGGGTACCTTCTTGTATGTATGGAAGAGTGGATAGTTGAAAACTATTCTATCTTATGTAAAATTTTTCGCTAAATACGAATGTGTAGGTCCCCGATCTCAAAAAGTGGTACCAATTTTAATAAACAAATTTTCATATTTGAATATTTTAATTTACAACTAGTCTCATCGTAAAGTACGGCTAAAAATATATTAAAAATGCTATTTTATCGAGAAGATAATTTTTATATTAAAGTAGAGAAATCGAAGATTTAGCCCAACTTTTATGGTACATATTTCTCTAGCTGAAACAAAAGCTGCACAGAAATAAAAAAGTTTGAACCTATTTTAACAATTTACTATTGAAAAAATAGCTTTTTACCCTTGCGGAATAAAAAATACCGGCAGTACGTTTTAGTTGTAAATTTCTAGTTCAAATTTGAATATGTATTTATAAAAATTGGTACCACTTTTTGAGATGGGGGACCTACATATTCTTATTTAACAAAAAAAGTTACATAATAATTTTTAAATATCCAGACTTTCATTCGTACACAAAGGTACCAAGCTGTAGGACCATGTCCTTCATACAGCAGTTCGAAATCTTACAAATTTTACTTAATAGTTTACAAATTATTAGTTATTAGGGTAAAATACTCAAGAGAGATACAAAACGAACTACCATACTAGTATCATAGACAATTTGAACAATTTAGAATCAAAATTTGGACCTCCCCTAACAAAAACGTAACTATGACGTCACATATAATTTATTCAACGTGATTAAAACGCATTAATTACTTTTGCGTGTTAGCGTTTAAAAGAAAACATTAAAAATGAGATACAGGATAATAAACCAATAGAGAGCATAAAGGATGTTAACTACTGAACACATTTTGAGCTTAGTAATCACTACAGTGGAATTAGGAACAAAAATAATGCAGCTCTTCGAAAAAAATTTGAATTTTCAATATAAATAAATGAAATAACATTTACATGCATATATTTTACAAAATTGTAGGTTTTGTTTAACTGTTTATTGTTCCTGTTATTTAATTCCACACAAAAATTCAGCTTTTTAAAACAGTTAGTAAGAAAGATACAATCTACAACAATGTCTTTGGAGATCGTTTAAGTTTTAATATAATTTTTAGAAAATGACCGATTTTTACATGTTTTTGGGTCTAAATAAATTAATTACCATAGTGTGTAATATCAAGCATTATTATTAAGTGCTTCAGTTTATTAAGACATGAAGGTGATTCAATCCAAAAGCGAAAAAGAACATAAGAACATGGATATGTATTTTTGGAGTGACTTAAAAGTATTCTGAACACAGAAGAGCACTGTTTTGTTTAATGTAAACAAAATGTTAATGGAATGCATGGAAGTTTTTAGGGATTTAGATAATTTAGGGTCAATAATGAGAAAATGAGCATGAATCAAAATAAAGTGTTTTACAGCTTCAGTCTCATTACTTAATAGCCAAATCTCAACTGCCACTGCCGAACCAAATGTAGGCCCCAATTATGAACATTGTTGACTACGTTTTGCTTCGTTTGTGGTCGTAGTTGTGTAATTCCACTGACATGTGACACTTAAAACAAATAAGTCTGGCAAATAGACCTCCCAAGAATCTGGGAGGCCTATTTGCAAGTCCCAAATTTATTCTTGCTTGATGTAAGGCCACTCAATACTATAATCAGCGATAATCTCTTGAGATATGCAATGTATAATAGGTAGGTTGTTATTATTTAAAACAACCGTGCGATAAAATGGTCATTGACCAAAAAAATGCATTTTATTATATCTCACGGTTCAGGTAAGGTTAAATAAACTGAAACGACACACAACGTAACATAAATTAAGTGACTGGCCGCAATGGCTGTCAATAATAACAGTAAAATTCTATACCTACAAATAGCATTTAAATTCCAGTCAGGTTCTAAAATAAATAATTAAAAACTACAAACTATCGCCACACATTGTTGATAGTTGCATTCGAATTAAAACAAAAGCTTTGAAATGTTATGAAAATATGATAAGATGTTTTTTATTTACCATAAATGGTGAATCCTTCCAACAATATTTTTTCCAATGAACCAAAGATCCTCCTAAGCTCAAATCCGATGTAAGAAACGATCCAAAAACGCCGATAGAGCAGTGAGAGTATTTCAAGTTACAGAAGCAGCCTTTTTGTGTACTTGCGAAGAAATGGTACAGGTGATAGGGTGAAGCCTTAAAGTGAAAAGTGAGGGATGTTTTGTAAACAACATATGCTGATGAACAGTAAATATTTCTGTACTTAAACGGATGTAATATGTTTGGTTACGCTCAGTTGTAGAGTTATAGACATGTGATAGGCAAACATGTTAAGTGGCAAATGAGCAGTGATAAAGGAATTTTGGGGAAGGATAAGAATATCAGTTGTTTTATTACAACTTCTAAATCTAATTAACAAAAATTGTAAGAAAGCTGTAAATATATATTATGTAATTACTGTTTCTGTTACCATGAAATATACTCAACTGCTCTAAAAGCTCCAAATCCTGATTATTCTTAATCCTTAAAAAATCCTCCCTCCTGTTTTATGCTCTCCTATCCTATCCCACGAAACAGCTAAACAATTCCTCCCTCCTGATATCCAAAATCCCTCCTAAAATCCTTTTTTGTGAATCTCTTGAGGAGATCCTTTTGAAAAACAACAAATCCTCTTCCCTCCTATTGATGAGTAGGTGTTTAATAGAATTCTATGTCAGTTTTATCTTTTTTATTTCCAAAATCGTCCATCGCTGATACACAGGTTCAGCAAAGGTACCATAGACAGAAAAAAAAATTATACATTAGTGCCTAGAGTCTTATAATATTTAAAAAATCATTAATTTAAGTTTGAAGAATCGAACAGTGCCAAAAAACAAAGAAATATTTCAAATTACTTACTAGAAAAAACCACTATTATTTCTTCCTTGGTTCTTGGCACATGATTATTTTTTAAAAAAATTCGGAATGTACAACACACAAACGGCAAATAGACAAATGAAATTATTAAAAAAAAAAAGAAAACATTAATAGCAATACCAATTTCTTAACCTATATTCTATTTTTTAGGCAAATTCCAAGAGTATATGACCTAACCTAGCAATTTCAAGTGAATGGTGCAACATTTTTCCTATTTCCAAAAAACATTGGAAAATTATTACTGTCATCTTATAAAACTGGAAATACTATCAAATTTTGGTCAAAATATATTAATAGCCAAATTTGGTACTTTCAATGAAACCAAATTACTGGATGTAAAGTATGACTTTTAAGATCAGCATTTTTTGAGATGGTGATGACACCAGTGGTCAAAATGTAAAAAGTCAAAGCAATGTGAACTAAATATATTTCAACAAATATTTTTTCTCTTGGTCATACTTCAGCCAATTGGCTTATTGTATATCTTTCATTTGTGTAACCTTCTGGCTAACTACTACTTAGCAGAGACTGACAGCTTTATATGCTCTCCGAAAGATGGTGGTGGCTCAGTTAAATTAGAAATTAAAAAATGTCTGGTGTCTTCCAGGATCGAACCTGGGCCATCCCCTGCTTGGTAAGCCACTTTTTATCAAAGATTTACAACATTATTATCTTTCAATAAAATTGACACGATAATGAAACTGATTTTCATTGGAAAACTCAATGAATAAATAAAAATACTACATTTTCATTATTCATAATGTCAATTAACCAATCTCAATCGCCACAATTTAAGATAACGATAATCAACAGAAATATTTGCACATGAAAAAATTACTTCAAGGAAATGCCTCATAGAATAACGCAATACGTACATAATATCCACGCTTGGAAATTATGAACGAGAACGGCTCCTCGAGAAACTTCTATGCACGGGACTGTATGTCGGTGAGCCCCTGTTGCGGGGCGAGAAAGATCGACTTCTTGATCTACCTCCGGATCTTCTTTCACTGCCGCCTTTGTCTTCTTTCACACGGATGTAGGCAACTTCTCCCTTAATTTTAAAAATAAAACATTAAACTTGATGAAATGTTAAATAATAAATAGTTTCTGTTCATAAACTTAATTATAATATCTAAATTAAAAGGACATTGGATTTTTTTATGAAATGCCCTTGGAAGGTTATTTAAAAGGTTCTAAAGTTCTGAATAGATTATGTGAGTATCCACATTATTCATTTATTAAAATGCTACATTTAAAAAGAGAAAGTTTCACTTTTCATCACATTTATGACATTACATAAAGGTTATCAGCTGCGTCATAAAATCTGTCCTAAAATGGAGTACATCTAATGAAACAATTGTCCTAAAGTGAGTTTAGAAGTTTGTTTATAGTTGTATGTATAAAAATCAGCATTTGACAGCACACTTTCAAAAGCCTTGAATTTTTCAGACTGAGCTGGTATGCAAAATTATTATATAAAAACAGAAAAGTGGTATCAAAATTTTCTCTATACTACTATTTTGGATATAATGATCTTCATCTATCACTTCATCAAATATAAAAGTATAACACATTAGTTTTAGTTGAAAATATAGCAAACGATATTTTACCACAAAGAAATTAGTCCCCTGATGAACTAGACATGGAAATTAAAATCAAATTAAATAGGTACCTCATGTGATCTAAATCTTGAATCGTCTAACTTCTTAATGGCATACTTCATGTCTTCGTATCTCAAAAACTCTACAACACCTGAGCCATCTTTGAAGGAATCTGCGAAGCATACATCTCCTGCTTCTCTCATGTGATCTTTTAAGTCTTGCCATGATCCAGATGGAGGTAAGCCTATGAATATATAAAAATTGGTGTCAATGTAACAGTTCTTATAAATATAGAGACAAAATATTAATAAAAACATAACACAAAATTTTTTAAATGTTTTGCCTATTAGCTATTTTTAATAAAAATTACATAAATTATTCAAACATTACATAATACACAATTATATTTTAAACAGTGTAAACAAAATCAGTCATTTTTGATGACTGACAAATCAATGGTGTAAACAAAAAAACAGATTTGCATCTTTTGGTGCAAAAACATACTCTCTATGCATGTTAAATAGAAGGCTGAAATACATCATTGTAAACTAAAAGATTCTGTCAGAGAATGTTTTTGTAGACAACACTATCAACACTTGTGTATTGTACTGTATTATTGTCTTCTGTGAGTAAATAAATATAATAAATAACCACATTTTTGATTGTTTTTGTGAGTAAAGTTGTATTGTATCATTTTGTTGTTGTTTTTTTAAATTTAAAATTTTTTTTGTAAAAATTGAAAGTAGTTGAAGACAAGTAAAAAATGAAAATAAGTGGAAAAGAAGTATGGTTAGAAACGCTAGACTCAAAGGTGAAGAATACATGATTACAAAGGTAGAGATGTACCAGCTATCACCGTTGGTCCTGATTGCAGGTAAAATACATTTTGTAGTCTATATAGCACCTTAATAAAATATGACACTGGTATTTAAAATAACGTTCAATGAACATAGCCTATGTTAACATTGTATGATGGCCTGATTCAGGAGTACAAAAAATAAAACATAGATACATATATTATTCAGGTGGAACTGACCCAGAACATCAATATGGAATTGCTATATTAGTGTCGAACAACATTGCTCAATCAGTCACAGACTTCATCCCTCTAAATGATATACCAATGTTGAAATTACAAACAACTCACAGAAAACTAAATATTATTCAGGTCTATGCTCCAACAAGTGACAAGTCAGATGAAGAAATCGAAAAATTTTATAGCAACATAGATGAAATAATGCAACTGACAGAAAGAGGTGAGATAACAATGATCATGGGCGATTTTAACGCAAAAATTGGTCGTGGTGCTAAAGGAGACCACATAGGAGCATACAGTCTAGGTACCAGGAATAATATAGGAGTACCTTCTTCAAACAACATCCTAGAAGGCTATACACATGGAAATCATCTGCAGACAGAATTGTTAGAAATCAAATTTACTTCATTTTGCTCAATAACACCTTTAAGAAGTACATACAGTCAACAAAAAAACATATCCTGGAGCTGATATACATAGCGATCACAATCCAGTTATAAAGGATTTTAGATTAATAAGATTTCTCAAAGTCAAAAAGAAAACTGTGACAATAGATATCTCAGAACTGAAGAACCCTGAACAGAAAAAAGAAATACGTATCAAGCTTGAGGAAGAAATAAAAATGATTGAAAACTTGGTACAGACAGACATTGAAGTGACATGGACTGCTCTAAAAACAAAAATAACAAAGATACAAGAAGAAGACATCGGGTTCATAAAACACAACAAAAAAACAAGAATGGATAACGCATGAGATCATGGACCCATGGACGTAAGACGAAAACATAAAACAAGCCCAATAAAATACAAGCGAATCAATAAAATCATTAGAAAAAAGTGCAGGGAGGCGAAAGAAAAATGGAAGTCAACAAAATGCCTAGTAATCGAACAACTTCAGAAAAAATATGACACCTTTAATATTCATAAAAAAGTAAAAGAAATGACAGGTAGACACAAAAAGAGACAAGCAACAATATTAAAAAATGATAATAACGAAATAATTATGGGTACAGAAGACAAACTACAGAGATGGAAAGAATACATACAAACTCTTTTTGACGACGATAGACCTTGTTCTCGACCATCCACAGATAATTGAATAAATGAAAAAGGCCCAGAAATATCCAAAGAAGAACTAATTCACTCAGTAAAATCTCAGAAAGATGGAAAAGCCACCGGTCCAGGCAATATCAATGTTGAAATACTAAAACTAATTGCAGATAACGAAAGTAAAAGCTTAGACTTAATAACAGTACTATTCAATAAGATATATGACACAGGTAAAATACTAACAGACTAGCTAAAATCAACATTCATAGCATTACCAAAAAGATCAAATTCCTCACAATGTGATGATTATCGAATATTAAGCTTGATGTCTCATGTACTCAGAATTATCCATATACTAATTTACATGACATGCGAGTTCCAGATGAGTGACAGTCAATTTGGATTTTTGAAACAGATTGAGAACACGAGAGGCTATTTTTGCTTTAAATGTGTTAACGCAACAATGCAAAGACATGAATGTATAACATTTTTCAAAGTAAAACACTTGCACATCACGATTTATATAAAGTGATGTCACTTGTATTTAAAATACTTATTAAATTTAGATTAATAGCTTTAAAAACTAATTATTGTTGTGTATTGTGATTTGACAAATAGTTGACATTTTAAAAATTCCTCACTTACTAACTATTCTGATGTTTTGGCAACGCTGTGGGGTTCCAACCACGTAAATCTTGAATGAAGTGCAAGCTTTTTTATATGAAAAATGCTATAGATGTATATGCATGTTTTATTAACTATCAAAAAGCATTTGACTGTGTTAACCATCAAAAGATGATCGAAATTCTGAGAACAACAAACCGCAACAATTGAAATAGAGCACACAACATCTGAAGATATACAAATCGAACGAGGAGTGGGACAGGGTTGCATCTTATCACCTCTACTGTTTAATTTGTATTCTGAGTCTATATTCAGAGAAGCATTAGACCAGGTCCAAGACAGAATTAAGATTAACGGAATCAGCATAAACAACATCAGATATGCTGATGATACTGTCTTAATAGCAAGCAAAGCACAAGAACTACAAAATATAATAAATGCGGTAGTTCACCACAGCGAAATGTTCGGTTTACATCTAAACATTTCCAAAAACTAAAACTTTAGTATTTTTAAAGACAGTAATAAACATACATGTGTATGCCAAAGGTTAAATGATAGAACAGGTAAATTCCATAAAATAATTGGGAGCAAATATCAATAGTCAGTGTAATCCAAAAAAAGAACTACTATCAAGAATCAAACAAGCAAGGAAAACATTCATGAGCATGAAAACATTTTTTACAAGATAAGACCTTAGTCTGCAGCTTAGAATCTGATTGATTAGATGTTATGTTTTTTCTGTCTTGCTGTATGGCTGTGAAAAAAAAACACACGTACTTCGTCGAATGTGTAAACAAAAAGAATTACTAAGAATAATCAAAGAGAGGAAAATGCAATACTTGGGCCATGTGTTGAAAGGTGAAAAATATGAATTACTTTAAATTATAAATGAAAGGAAAAGTACAGAGCAAAATATCAGTAGGAAGACGCCAGAACTCATGGCTGAAAGACCTGAGGAGATGGTTCAAAAGCTCATCCACAGAAATCTTTCACTCAGCAGTTTCCAAAACCGCAATTGCCATTTGGATGACCAACCTGCAAAAGGAGAAGGCGCCATGAGAAGATGACATTGTATAATTGATGTTTTTTACATAATAAACTAAGGTTAATTTCATTGAAACTTTTTTTGACTTCAGATGTAAGCATAAGTGTACAGACCTCTTACACAACCAAGCTGAAGAGATATTCGTTCATTTGAGAACATTGAGACACTAAGACAAGTATGATATTTTTTTACAATCATTGATTACCTGCTACAATGTAAAAACCCATAGACACAGAAACGAGGGCTGCTCACAATGTTTATTTTACATATAAGATAACTGTGGGTGAAACCAGGGAAAATATATATTATTTTTAACATAAATATTATGTTTAGAAACATTGTTACTCTATGGCATTAAAATATGTCATATTAGAAGGCTTCATTTATTATTATTAATGGATAATAATAAGCTGCTGTTTATGTATTATAGTATTATTTTCGGGGTACTAGTGTAATAAGCCGGAACGCCTCAAAAATGCCCAATTTTTTGTAATTGTATATTTGCAGCATCTTAGGTTTTCATTAAATCGGACAACATTAAAATATTTGATTTTTTTTTCTTATGAGAAAATGAGGAATTAAAACATACCTGTAACAAGAACCCTAAATTGTGATCTTCTAGCCGGTGGTCCCCTAGAGCCTCTGCCTCTCTCGCCGCCTCGACCACCTCTAAAGCCGCCTCCGCCACCGCCACCACCATGGCCGCCGCCTCCGCGAGGAAATTCCACTCGTAATCTATACCCGTCATAATCGTAGCCGTCTCTAGCATGTACAGCGTCATCTGCATCTCTGTTAAATTTTAGAAATATTTAATTGCATCTTAATTTAAGATAGGTACAAACTTACCTTGGATCCTCGAATTCGACAAAAGCAAATGGCGGACCGCGTCGGTTTTTCAGATCGACAAAAGTTACCTTGCCAAATTTGTAAAAGAGATCCTGGATGTCCTTGGTGCGTATATCTGGGGGAAGATTGCCAACGTATATTCTACAATCGTTACGACCGGGACCCGACATTTTGCTTTTTGATGTTTTTAAAAAATAATCTAAAATTGTAGCTTTTGCACAAAGAAGCCGACACAACCAGAGAAGCAGAGAGAAACAAGATTCAAGTTGGAGAATCATAAAATCTTATAGCGCATAGCACAGCGCATTCACCGGAAATGAGTGGGGAGGGAGGCGATTTTAAATTACACAGACTTGATGTTTTCAATGTTTTGTGCTATGATAGTATTGTCATAATAATAGTATCTATTATCAATAATTATAATAAATTATTCATCAGATTTATATTTAACTAATGTGAATAAAATTACGGTTTCAATTATAAAAGTTAAACAAGAAAACCGGAAATAGAAGATGTTTGTGCTAAACTTCAAGGCAAGAAACATACTTGACGTTTGTGTGCCTAACTTTATAACTTAAAAAGTACAAAACATAGATATATAAATATGGTACAAAAGTAGTGACGGTGACGTTTTGATTGTATGTTTGAAAGGTTGACATTTATCTTAAATATAGTTACGTGGTATAATATTTAATTCTCAAGTAAAATCAAAATAAAACATGGATTTCATCAATCGTATACCTACCCATATGGTAATATTTGAATTTAGCTTAATAGTATAATTCATAATAGTATTAAATAGATAATTTGCTGTCACAAATAAATAACATATTTTAGGTTCCAGAATAATTTAAAATGTTTTTCTTTTTCAGGACTTTGAAGGGCAAGCCAGGGCAGAAAAGTTATCTAGAATTATCATAACATTATTTGGAGCAGTTGGTCTCATTTGGGGCTATATTATTCAACAATTTTCTCAGACAGTATACATTTTAGGTGCTGGATTCGTATTAGCTGCTCTAGTATGTTTCCCATTTAAAAAAGGGTGAAAAAGTCATTTTAATACTTGTTTTTTTAGTTAACCATTCCACCTTGGCCTCTATATAGGAAAAAACCATTGGACTGGCAGCCAGTGAAGAATAATGATAATCATCCTAAAGAGACTTCAAAGAAGGGAAAGAAAAATAAATAATACTATTTAAGCATGTTTTTTATAATTTTTAAAATAAACCTTGTTTGTATCACTTAATTTGTTGTTTTATGTATTAACAGTCTATTTGTAGTGTCTTTTTGTCCGTGCCATGCAATAATATTTGGGTTAGTTAGTAATTTTGGTAAGTTATATTATGCTGGTTTATATTTTATGTTCTGTTATATAAAATAGGAGAGGTGGGGCAAAGGTACACCCTTTCTAAATTTTCATCTCTAGTGAATTTTCTAATGCTTTAATTGACCCAGAATATAGATGAATGGGAAGTTGATACATTTCATAATCATATTAGACAAATGAAAATTCTTATTACAAACTTATTTTTGTAGTGTTGATAACTTTTTTGAAAGAAAAAAAAAATGTAAATGCGTACCTTTGCCCCACTCAATGGGCCAAAAGTACAGTTTAGATAGCTTCCATACATGTCTGATTTTGAAAAATTTGAAATTTTCTGTCTTTGCGAATCTCATGGTCTTCTGAGCTCTTTTACAAAAGTCACCCTCATACTTATCCTCAACAATATTGTTAATTTTGGCATACACTCTGAATGATCTCTTATCTTCAGTGTATATTCTCACTACTACAAAATCGTCAGACTTGAATTTCATAATTTCAGAATCTAAATAACTTTCAAATGATTCTGGTGTATCAGAGTCATTATGTATGGATATTGCAGTTTTAGAATCCAAATTATATGCAGGGCAGACAATTTGTTTAACCCTCATCTTTTTAGAATTCTTTCTAAAAGCTGTGTTGCTGCAGCCATACTCTTTCTCAATTCTTTCTTTATTTTTTTCTTCCTCTAAACTTTCCAATCTTTCTTATTTCTAGGTCCTGTCAGTATTATCAACTTCAAGCCTCTTTCAGAGTGTTTACTTTGTACTAAGATTTTAGGCAGTGGAATAATGTTTAAAGGGGAAATCACAACAGGAGGGAGGATGTCAGCTCTATTTTATTTCTTCAATTTGCAATTTAAATACTATTTTGTGCTTTTTCTACTTCTTATATTATTCCCTCTTCTCCTCTTGCTTGACCTGAATGCTCATCGTCTCTTTCTGCTTCTTATACAAAAAAAAAAAGAGATGAAATAGTGCCGATCATTGCAATTTCTATCAATATATTATCCATTTTATCTTGATCAGTGGTAGAATCGATGTTCATCAAATGGGTGAATGCCACGCATTCTAAATCCCTCTGTGGCTTTATCTAGTGAAGCTAATTTCTCAAATGCTCGCCTGACCTGACCAAACTGGCCACTTGGTATTATGTCAAAGATTGACCAACATGGTTTGTGGTCTAGCTAGGTATTACAAAAATCAAAAAAGAATATTTTTCTTCTTTGCGTAAGTTGCTGCTCCCAGTGAAACACGTGATGCGTGTTTGTCTAAAATAAGAAGTATTGGGAACTCTGTTGACGGCTTGGTGTATTTTGAAAAATAATCAAGTATTTTATGAAAGTTTGACAATGTATTCAGAGTTGGTCACAGCCACAAAAATGAAAAATGGGGGTACAAAATGACCATTTTCCTTCTTAGGAAAAACTGACCGTCTTTCTTTTTAACCAGGACCACCAGGGAGACCCATGGGCTCGTAGAAGGTTCTATTACCCCGTCTTTCTTCATTTCCTGAACAATCGTTTCAGCTTCCTCTCTTTTCGCCTGTGGTAATCGTCGAGCTGTTTGACGAATTGGCTTAGCATTACCAGTATCAATTTTATGCTTAACAACGGTAGTTCTTCCCGTCTTTCCTCCTTTCGGTACGAAAATATCACGATACTGCCGAAGAAATTACCTTAATTTCCTTTTCTCAATCTGATTCAGAGACTGTCCAGCAACTGCAACCATTCGGTCGAATTTGTCGTTGGAATTATCAGATGTTGTCGTCTGACGGATTATAGATGTCACAGGTACACAAGTTCCTCCAACTTCTTTTTCATATCTTTTCTTCGAAGGCCAACATATCGGTAGCAACTTGGTTTTTTAACGAAGACACTCTATCGTCGAGAGCAGACATCTCAGAAGTGACTTTAGGTATTTCCAAGGAGATGTTAGCAGAAACTTTGCTTTCTAGAGAAGAAATCTCGTTAGAAACTTTGTGTTCTAAAGAAGCGATGTCGCCGGAAACTTTGTTCTCTAATGATACGATGTTGTCGGAAACTTTGGCAATCGACGAGATGACAGCAGCATGTTTGTCTTCAAATATATAAGTTTCCGGATCCAAACCCTCTTCCTTTAAAGCGTTCTTTAGTCTTTGGACTAAATCAGCCTTTTCCCCGGTAGAAGCTAATTCTCTGTCCTCGAGATGTCTTCTTAAATCCGTAACTTTGAGCTCATAAATCGTAACCATTTTCACTATTCCACTTTTCTTCTGACACCAATGTAAAGTCTTTATTAATTCTAATTTATTGTTCTTATTATTTATCAAAGGTTCTATATTTATAACACTTAGAACTTAATTTATTTAAAGTTTATTTATAATAATTTATCTTAAAATAATAATTTATTATTACGATCGTTACATTTTAAAACACGTCGCGATCTTCGTTTCTAACTGCATTCTTTCAATGAAAATCATGTTATATACCCAATACCGTTAGACTAGAAAAGTCGATAGCCCTTGTCGAAAATACTGGAAGGGTACGGCTGGTTGTTTCATTTAACGTATTCCCGGATCCTTCGAATGGACCGGTTCTTTTAGTACTTGGAATTTCTGCAGGTAGTCGAAGGGGTCGTAGAATCTAGAACATATTAGTGAATAAACAACATGTTACAGGTTTTTTAATATGACTAATTTTTACTTAACAATAGTTTGGTTTTATTATTTGTCCGTCCCTTTTGTTGTGTTTCTAAGTGCTCTTGAATTCCAAATCCAAAGTCCCTAAAAATATAACGACAAATAGGGACCAGTTCAGTTTTTCGGAAACCATTGCAAGATATTTCCATCGTCGCAGCTTTGTTATATGCTTTACAAAAAATACTGGCAACGGCATAAGGCGACACAACACTCAACTGATTTTCTCTTAACCAGTTTTCTATTTTTTATACGTAGTAAGTTTTCAGCGGTGCCATAAAAGCAACATCCAACGGTTGCATTTTATGTGTAGAATGTGATGAGAGGCAAATAATCGTCACATGATTCTGTGTGGCCTAATCTATTAGAGCAACGTTTCTCGTATGAGAATAGTGACTATCAAGGACGAGAAGAACAGGGTCTGCAGCTGAAGGTTTAGTGAATTTTATGAAGTGTTTAAGCCATCTAGTGAAAATATCGGCCTCTACCCAACCTGACCCATGGCATTCTGCGACTGCTCCAGTGGGAGCTCTTAGCATCAACTGTAATTTCATATTTTTTCTAGGGAAGATTAATAATGGTGGTACGAAAATTCCTCCATGCAATAGCAGTAATCAGCTAGCCCCTTTCTGCTGAAGAAAGTGACGAAAACTGCTTCTTCCCTCTCATGGAAATTACTTTGCTATGTTTGTGCTGAACAATTGTAAGGCCCGTTTCATCTACTTTGAATATACGTTGTGCAGGGTTAGTAAGCTTAAGATATTCTGGTTCATACAGGTCAAAGAACTTGTATACATTTTCAGGAGTAAAATATTTTACTCGAGCACACGACATTCCCTGAGGAGTACGCACTGAAAACGTCGGAGTCGTCTTTTCAGAAAGAGCCTCAACCATTTCTTTCCGGCTGATTTTTTGACTCCGTTAAATGGATGTGGTATTGAGTTTCGCATTGCAAGTTGAAATCCCAGTCGTTTTATATCTCGCGCTCTTATCCCGAAATAACGTTGCTCCATAGTTAGGGCCCTACTTAACCAACGCATTATCTAATTCCAAAGAAAGAATAGGTCGCCGGCCAATTGATATCCCGACGAGTTCTTCTGGAGTCTTGTCTGATTTCACATATCGTTCTAAGGTACCTTTTGGTACTCCAAAAACTTTTGAGGCCTTCAAATAGCCCATCTATCTATTTCTTACTGTATTTACAGCCCGTATCATATCATTTGCGTTCCATTTTTTATTTTTTGGCGGCATCTACAAACACAAAAATAAATTTTTTTACACGGGGTCCTAATTTGAGACACTCTAAAATTTAGAACCTACAGGTATCCCAAATTAGGATTTTTCCCTTAAAAATAAAACGCATTTTTGTTGGGTATGTATGCCACACAATTACTGTTGAATTTACGTAAAATGTATTAACTAATATTAAACTAACAAAAAAAAAATAATTGGAGTAAATGTAATCATCTTACCTTGATGTATTGTAAGTTTTTATAAATTCCGATAAAAAATTTGTGTAATCTGTAAATCAAATTAACGACGACAAAACAACAAAGGTCACAGAAATTGGATGATGGTTGAGGAGAGCCGGGGATCGCTTAAAATCTTTCAAGGAAAATGAATCAGAATAAAAATTGAATTTATTTAAAAAATAATAATAAAGATATATTCACCTATATTTACTTAAATCATCATAAGTGTGCATAGTATGTACATAATATGTATATATAGTATGTACTAGGTACATACCGTCAATATGTACTAGGTGCGTACCTTCAGTACGTACTAGGTATGTACCGTCAATTGGAAAATGTACCTACGTCTTATGTACGTACTTCGTACAGCAAAGTACGTACATTGTACATACTTTATGTCCCATCAGTGCATACTTAGTTTGTCTTATGTAGGTACTTGTGCTTATTGGGTGTAACTGTACTCGTATGCGTTTGTTCGTGTTGTTGTTGTTGGTTGTGAACAGTACAATTATACAGAAACTTTTGCATCTTTCAACGGAAACACATTTTAGTGTCCCAACGCATTATTTTTAAAAGTGGAACTAAACTAATCTTTTTGGCGAAGTCTTTTTATTTTCAGACAGAATGATTTTCCAATTACAAACAACTCAAATAAGGAAGAGCATATGTAGTAACGTAATTATTAATAAACAGTAATTAATATTTACTTGATACTTGTAACTCCTCTGCAACCTCAACCCATAATCTATTCACCTTGTCCATATTATGATAG